GAATACATAATGGGCTTGGATTTACAGCATTATGAATGAAATGTGCTCTATTTGGAAGCAGCAGGGCTCCCCTCCCCTTCAGCAGCAAGCAGGTGCACCGAGGGCTCTCGCGCTCACTTTGAACGTATAGAATTTCGAAAAATCATCGGTGCAAATTATAAATCTGTATCATAATGTCAGGTGTTTTCGTGTTTGTTGGTTTGTTTTTATTTTGGGGGTGGGTTATTAGACGCTGCTCTAGCCAGCCAGTGAATCCCCCGCTGCCCCGCCCTCTCCTTCCTGTGCCGCAAGCAGCAGGCGCAAACGGAGGGCGCCCTTACTCCCAGCAAATGGGCGATAGAAAACCGATCGGTGCCTATGCCATTCCCAGTATGCACTGGCATGATGTCAGGGCAGCATGAGCACGAGCAATTGTTTTTTTAAATTTTTTGTTTGCCGATGCCCGTGATGCCGCCACCCACCACGATGGGTAACCGCCCGTGTCGCCCGTATCAAAAACCGCTACTGGTGATATGCAAAGTGAAACCAAAATCTATTTATTTGGACTAACTTTATATAGATCTAACATTTGAACGATTTTTGCATACATTAAACACAGATGGGATTCTGAAGTGTGTTATTGTTTCCTGTTTGGTTTCAGAAACTGGCAGCAGAGTGTCAGAGCGCCGGTCACCCTGGCGTTTTGGTGCCTTTCAAGTGTGACTTGAGCAAAGAGGAGGAGATTCTGTCCATGTTTGCAGCGATCAAAGAGCAGCACAAAGGTGTGGACGTGTGCATCAACAACGCTGGCTTGGCTCATCCAGAGGCGCTGCTAAATGGCAAAACCAGCGGCTGGAAGAACATGATGGATGTAAGAGCTCAGATCCTGGTTTACATTGATGTGACATTCACTAGTGGCTTTCAAGTAAAACATTGAACTGAAATAACAAATGTGACAAAGGTCACCCATCAGTGATTTTACTGCTGTGGTATTGTTTAAACATTAACACTTTCAAACAGTTTTAAACAGAATTCAAAGTTGCTTAAAAACCTTTGTTGTGCAAGATTTCTCTGTTTGTTTTCTTGCAGGTGAACATCCTTGGGTTGAGTATTTGCACGCGTGAGGCGTATCAGTCAATGAAAGAGAGAAACGTGGATGATGGGCACATCATAAACATAAACAGGTGCAGTTTTATTTGCTTGTGCAAGCTTGTGAAGTGAAAAACTGTTGAATTAATAAGAACACACATATGTTTTCATGTTGGCATGTTCTCTATTTAGATTGTGAATATGATATTAATTTTGCAACTCTGCACAATTTTTTATTTTTAAATGGCCGACATTTTCTAACTTTGAAAGAAAGCTACAAGTGAAATGAGGGCAGGACTTTTACATTTTAATGAACTTCGTCACATTCAAGCAGGTAAGTTTACACAATGCTGCCTGTCGGTGCAGTTGTGCTGAGGGGTGTATTACGGATGAAGTTCAACACAGCCAGACTTTCTTTAGGTTAGCTGGCTCAGCAAAACCTAAAGCCCCATTATGATAGTAACGGTTGTCACAATGGTGGTTGTCAACTTTCTCCTTTGAGTGGGACTTTCTGTTTCATGCGCTGAGCACACTAAAAACAGGCGTTTTGTTGACAATAATGTTAAAATACTGATTAAAAATCGCTAAAGAAAAAATATAAAACCTATAGCAGCGAAATTCAACAATTGCAAATAAGACAAAAGGTTAATGCTGCAAATCTTGGGATTTTGCTCAAAGAGCGGTAAAATAAACAAATTTAAGTTTAATTAAATTATTTTATCATTGAGTTCCCTCTTGGTGCAGCCTATTGTCCCACAGGTTAACACAGGAGACATGGAAATTTCTTTATGTTGTCAATATATCAAAGGGAAGCTAACTTGATTGCTTGAACAAAGACTCTTGGTGTGTGTTCTGCTGCACTTCCAGCAGAATCAAAGTTAAAAACAAATCACCAAACTAATACATGTACATTCCCACGACAATGCAATGCTTTCTTCAGTGGTTTTCATAAAGTTCAGCTTAAAAACTTGGACATATAAAGCCTCAGTTCGCTAAGCCATTAATCTGGCTTCATAGAAAACCCCTCTGGCTTTTCAATGAGGAATCTTCTCCAGTTATCCAGAAACCTTGACTCAGATGAATTTATTACATGGCTTGTTGCTGGGAAAAGCCTGTTTTTTAACGTTTGAGTCTAAGGTTTATTTTAAGCACCTGACTGCTCTTTTTTTGCTTCTCATCCATAAACTCTCTCCATAATCTTTTGCGTGACTCTTGTGTTGGTGGTTAAAGAGGTTTGCCGTGTTAGAGTCTGAGGTGGAGATCAGTTTCCTGCATAATTTCCAGAGCACAGTTTTCTGGTCCATGTCAGACTTTTCATAACCAAACCATATCCATGCTACAGAGGTAGCCCCTCGTTTAGAAATAAGGTCCTCAATTTGTTTTGAGTGGTCTTTCTGTTTGTCATCATTTCAGTTTATTTTGAAAAATCTCAACAGGATCTTGAGCTTTATTGTAAAAGGTTTATGTGGAAAATAAACAAGCGGATGACGGAGCCACACACTGGGTTTACCGTCGTAGCTGCTAACGACAACGTGTAAAAACAGTCCGTCCGTAGTGTGGTTATTTTAAATATAAGAGAAAGAGAGATTTTTAAGAAATTAATATAGCCACTACAGTGACCATCAAAACGATGAAAAAATATGGTCGTAAACAGTTTATTTTGTGACACCATGAAACAAATGATAGCGTAATATGAAAAGATAGACTTTTTCATATCGTCTTCCGATATATATCGTTGTATCGAACAGCCCTAACACCTAAGTGATTTCTGTTTTCTGTAGGGATCGGACCTTTTTTGCACTGAAACAGCCATCACTTTGCTTTGACAAAATGCCTGTTATTACAACATTTAGAAATTTGCAAAATAACTGAGTCCAGATTTTAAAGACCTCATTGAGGTCAGTGTTTATTCATCTGCAGGATAAACCATCAAAAAAAATGTCAGACAGTATTTAAAATGTTCATAAAACTGTTCTAAATAAAGTGACATCTCCAGTTATTTTGGCCAACCAGAACCCAAACTAATATGAAAGCTGAAGGAAAATCCAGACTGGAGATCAGTATCAAACTATCAAATCCAGATTTTGGACTTAAGCAATTGTTTTGAGTATAAACCAGTTTTTGCAGCTCTGGACCTCAGCTTCTGTGTGCCACAGAAGTTCTTGCATCATTCAGTCAGACTTGCCTTTTAAAAGAAGAACTTTTAATGATATTTCTGCTCACCTGCTCAGGTTTGTAATCTGTTTGATGTTGCAGTATGTCCGGTCATCGTGTACTTCCCAATGCAACTACACATTTCTACACCGCCACCAAGTTTGCTGTAACCGCTCTGACTGAGGGCCTGAGGCAAGAACTGCGTGCAGAAAAAACTCATATCCGAGCCACGGTAAGGCTTTAAAATATACCATAACCAGCTCATAAAGTGCTAGTATAATTCATAATGCTAGTAACAGTTGCTATGAGACGCATACACAGTACGTCCAGGAGTTCCCTCATGATCTTTTTTTTTTTTTTCTTGCAGAGCATTTCTCCTGGTTTGGTGGAGACTGAATTTGGTCCACGGCTCTTCAAAGACGATCCTGATAAGGCTGCTGGTCTATACTCAGAATATAAGGTAAAGGGATCATTCCTATAATTAAAGTACCGTTGATATAATTACTCAAGTAAAGAGTATTCAGTCACTTTTCACTTCTCTCACAGCCTCTGGAAGCAAAAGATGTTGCCAGTTCTGTTGTATATGTGCTCAGTGCCCCTCCTCATGTTCAGGTTTGTGCTTTGCTCTTGTTTTTATGCTTTTTATTGTGTCTTATTAAGACTTTCCTGTTTTCCATTTTAACTTTGACTCATAATAAGACAACGTTCACATAACTTTTGTTTCAGATTGGAGACATTCAGATGCGAGGGACAGAGCAGGTGTCTTAGAGCTGCACCACGAGACCCTCTCAAACTATACAATGACAGATTTCACTTCTTTACAACATTTTAAAAGATAATGACTTGATACGATCATGAAACAATTTTATGGTGTTGTTTTTTTTTCCCACAAATGTATAAAATAAAAAACAATCTTCAGGGGAAATTTGTTGCATTTTTTTTTTTTTTAATTGCATTAAGTCTGATTTTTTAATAAAATCTTTATCGTTTAAAAACCATGTCTGAACCTTAAGTATAAATGTACTTGAGGAATTAAGCATCAGTAGTATTAATGAAGTATAGCAAGATATGTAAGATAATTGTAAATATTTTAGAAAAAGAAAATGCAAAAATAAATAGAAAATATATTTATGTAATATCAATAAGTGACACATCACAAATACATGTAAATAATTAAATAAAATGGTGAACCTACTGACTCGTTGTTATTCTTAAGCTGTGGTTTTGATTACTAATTGACTGAGTTTCTTTTTTTTTTTTGTGTCTGTCAGTATTCCAGCATCGTACATTCTGTTTTATACTTAAAATGATAAGTAGTCTTAGAGGTGGATTCTTTGTGTTTTAGTTGACTGTAGCCTCCCACATGTTTCTCTATGCTGTGTGTTTTTGTCACAGTGCTGTGTCTAGTTGGTTACTTTCAGCTTTACTTTGTGAGTTGTCTTTTCTGCTTTGCCTTCGGTTTTGTTTTTCCATGTCCTGTGTGTTTTTAAAGTCTCGGTTTGCTTGTGTGCTCTGTTGTGTCACACTGTGTTCCAGCTCGCTTTGCTCCTAATGTGCTTCCTGCTGGCTTCTTGTGTGTTTAGTTAATGTGTAGTAATGGCATAAACAAATGCCATGCGTTTTGAAACTCTGTAACTTCATTGTTTTTTTGGGGGGTTTTTTAATCCCCTCTCTCTCCTGCGGGTAGTTTATCCTTAAAGCTCGGGTCCTCTACCAGACCCTGGGAGTATGAAGGTGCGCTCTTCTAGGACTGTGTTCTTCTGAACAGAGGTCTGATATGGTTCCTGGGATCTGCTGGAGTTTCCCACTCTCACATACATTAATCACATAATTTCAGTTTCTGTGAGACACCTGCACAACTCTTCTGAGTTTCCTCAGTATCCACTCTTTTTTGCAGTGCATTTTCTCTGGTTTATTGGAAACTGAATTTGCTCCATGACTCTACAAGGACACTCCCGATAAAGCAGGTGCAAGCGACAGAGCAGCCCTTATAGAACTACACCATGTGACCTTGTCAAATAATGGACTGAATTTTTTTTTTTTATACTTCTTTGCTACATTTATGAAGATGATTTTAACTTGTCATTAAACAGTTTTATGAAGTTGTTATAGACATTATATACTAAGGTATGAAATAATCAAGTAATTATTTTGGGGGGAACTTTGTTGTACTTCCCTATCTAATTGCACTTCACGGATATTTGTTAGAAAAACTTTATGGTGTAAAACATTAAACCTTAAGTATGAAAATATCTGAAAATATATATTTCAGTATTCAAAAAGAATTGCTTAACATAGTTAAGATAAAACATACATAAATCAGTGGTAAAATAGCTCATATATATTTCTATAATGTCCATTCCACATTACTAATACCTGCAAATAAGTGAACAAACCAATCCTAAAAATATTTGCATAAATCTATCCATCTATTTATCGTTATATAAACTCAACTTTTCCTGTGTCCGTTTAGAAGCACATTAGATGGTGCAAAGGAATGTATAGCCAGTACTGAAATAAATACTAATACTAGATGTGACTCTTAAATTTAAGTCGGAGTTTTACTTGCTGTTGATCAGTTTGTGCAATCTGAATTCCCTTGGAAGTATTTAATTACAACAACAGAGCTGATTGATCTGTTTTCCTATGTTTGCACCTTATTTTAATGCAGCACACAAACCTGTTTTAGAGCGTGGGGCGTAGCGTGGCACCAGGGTACACTCAGGAGGAGGA